AAGATTTATGATGGAAAAAATCCCCTGCATTTTTCTATGTAAATCATTGGATCCCCATATGTGGCCCCATCCTACCCCAGTGGGTCATAATTTTAACAAATTTGAAGCTACACTGTTCTATGTAAAGAAAGTTTCAACTTTTTGGGCCCAGTCAGTGGTTCTTGATAAGACTTTTTTAAAATGATACCACCAAATTTTCACTAATTCTTGATTATCCCCCCTTGAAAGAGGGTGTGACCCTTCACTTGAACAAACTTGAATCCCCTTTACCCAAAGATGCTTTGTGGCTGGGTTGGTTGAAATTGGCCCGGCGGTTCTAGTGAAGAAGACAAAAATGTGAAAAGTTTACAGGCGGACAGATGAATGACAAACAAAATGTGATCAGAAAACCAGAAAAACTCAAGTGAGCTAAAAACTGATGATCACAAGTACTTGGAAAGAGTTACAGTATTTGAAAAGCAGTTTTTTTTTTCATGCATTAATTGTTTTCAGAAGCTGAAAAGGTATGACTTGTATCCATGTTGAAAAAACTTCACATTTCAGAAAACAGTATGATTAAAAATAGTTAATCAAGGTGCTTTGAGTAGCAAAATAAGCTAAACTGGTATAGCTAATTCAACCACAGAGCTTAGTGAATTTTAAAATGCACAACCTTTTCAACTCTTAATCATTCTTAAAATATTTATATCATCATTTCTGATTCAAGGGAGAACTAGAGATATGATCAGAAGTATATCCATTGACTAATAAACATGTACATGTATATTGTGTTTTTTAAGTCATTAATGTTTGTTTGTTGTTAAATGTCCCTCTTGGGAATTTTTCACTCATACGGAGACACCACCACTTAAAAATAATGAAGACGTACAAGTCGGATTTAAGGTTAACATTCATTTTAGGAATTTTCAACAATTAATTAAGACGTAAAGAGATAACTCCTTCCCCTTGCCCCTTCCCCTTCCCAGACCCCAGTTTGTTCATGTATGCAAACTAGTCTAATACAGTAACTTTGGTTTGACATAAAAAAAATGTGAATACATACAAATAGTTTAATGGTCCATCTCTTTGAATGATTTTCATTCCTAATTCTAGGTTGACCCAAATTCATGAATGAAATGTCAAGTAATCTTATCATTGATGCACTTCTATTTAATTTGATGTAGTCATATTATGAACAAGAGAGTGGGGATGACCTCAAGGGTTCATAACCTTAAACCATTAGATGTACATAACATAATAACACAAGAAACAAAATTATGTCTAGTCAAATGGAAAAATTTTCTACTATTTAGGAGTCGCATGATCATTTGTCATTTCAGGGACAGGGAGCGGCTAGGGAGATTGGAACCCCCCCCCCCCCCCTGGAATTTGCAGAGTTATTTAAATAGGACTATATACTGATTTACAGAAGCAAATAAAAAATGACTTTGGATGCCCTCCCCCTTTAAAAACATGGACCCCACCATCATTGTTTTTATTTTGTTTGTTTGTTTGTTTTTTTTTTTATTTTGCTCCTCAGGAAATTCTGGGCTGGAATTTTTTTGGACCGAGGTGTGGACCCCCCTCCCCCCCGGAAAAAAATTCCCGGATCTATGCCTGTAACTGAATGTAATGTCGACAACGGGAGATAACTCTTCAGAATGTGAAATTCGTCTATTGTGGCATCGATGATCCACTCTCTACGATCGGCTCATACATTCAGTGTCTGAGAGAGAAACGAACGACAACTCTGCATAGGAGATTGCCGATGATCTTTGATCCTTTTTAAACTTTAACCTAACCATTTGCATTTTGGTTTATTTTACCCCAATCTATACTTAAACTTGTACTTACCGACTGTCATAGGTCCTGTCAACTTCATGAAATATAATCCAATTAAAACACAAAATGAATTAATTTCCACTGATATACATGTAACACTGCACCATGTCACATGGCATGTGCAATCTAAAAATGATAATGGTAAAACTAGTACTAGTACTGGTAGGGTGACGCAAGCCCAATGTGATGTAGAAATTTTCAAAAAGGTGTTCACATACATGTACAGTACAAGAACAAATTTTAAATTATCATAACAAACGATGTTTTAACATAACTTTGCCATCTAGGCCTATTTCCAAAAACAGGCAAATTGTGTGTGTGTGTATTTGGGGGGGGGGGGGGGGGGACACATATAAATTGATTGGGTATGGCTTTTCAAGGAGGTTTTTGCCTAATCAAATACTAAAAAAAGTTTGCACATTTTGATAAATTCATCAAAAACGCTTTGTACTAAAATAATATTATTTGTTGTTGAGAAGATAAATTTAATTTAAAAAGTTCCAATTATGGGCCAAAAATTTATATCCCCCCCCTTTTTATTAAAACCTAATTTACAACATTAATTAAATTCTGATATTTCAGACTGGTAATGAATTAAGTATATGAAATGCGTATAAGAGGTTCATGGGTCACATGGTCACCTGAGCATTTTATGCTCGATTTGACGAATACATGTACTGTGTAAATTATAGAATTATTTGGACTTTTTCCTTGGTAAGCCCAATATGAAGGAGTGTGCATTTAGAGGCAAACACCTTAGTGCGGGTATTACTGTCTCATGACAGCATCTAGTTTTCATGATGTTCTTTACAGCAATCTGTAACAAGAAAAATTCCACCTCTCCCATGGGTGTAATGATCAGGCACTGGTCAAGGAAAATTTTGATAGCAGAAAATTGCATGTCAAATTAGAGATAAATTAATGAGTTTAGTGTGAGGTGATAACTGGTAGAGCATCTCTGATCAAGCAGGTGTTATCTACATCTCTTGGGAAATGGGCAAAAGGAATCAGTCTCTTAATTAATTGCTTGTGTTGTATTGAATTGTTCTTGTTGGCTAGTCTTACTTTCAAGATAAATTTGATGTAATTAAAACTAATTTGATATTGTTTATAATAATTAAAACTTATATGATATTGTATAATATAATTTAAACTAATTATTTATTGTACATTTTTTATTTGAATTTTTATATCTTTACAACAAATTGCAGATTGCCTTGTCTCACTAAGATGTCATTCGACCAATTGAATCTAAACTGTTTATGATAATTTAACAATATTTGATGGGCGTATAATGCTGTGGTGGGGCACTTTATTTTAATGAATGAAACTAAGGTGCAGCCTAATAAAATATCAACACTAATAATTACAGTGTTTTTTATTACATTGAAAAAATAGTTTGCAACTATCTGTCATCTTTGTGAGACATGACACTCTGCAAATTGATTGTTGAAAAAAAAAAATATCATAATTAATAATACAAAATCAAATTGATTTTAATACCTTTATATCAAACTCATTTTAAAAATAAAAGGCTGGTTTTAGTAACTATGTATTTTGACAGACATAAATAACAATTAAGAGACTTAGACAACAGAGATCTTTATTTCTTTCTGCCCAATTCCCCGGATATAGATAAGACCTGCCTGATCAGAGATGCCCTAACAGCTTCCCACACTGAACTCATTAATTAATCTTTAACTGGATGCATGTCCACTCATTACTCCCAAGGGACAAATGGATTTACACTATCTGCTGTGTAATGTAAAAACTGTTTTTAATACTTTGTGGGTTTTTTTTTTAGTTCTAATGAGTAGTTTTAAGCTGTAGTTCACATTTTTGTACAGATGTTCTAGATTCTATGTCTCAAACCTTAGACATGAACCCGAAATGACTAAGTCAATAAAAATTTAAAAAAAACACCTGTAAAATGCAGAAAAATTATCAAATAATGTTGAAAATACCAGGTGCACATCTTCATATGGTAAATAATAAGTGTACAAATTTTCATACAAATCTATGCAATAGTTTCTGGGAACAGATCCAGACAAAACCACATAATAAAAATGAAAAAACACCTGTAAAATGCAGAAAAATTATCCAATCATAATGAAAATACCAGGTGCACACCTTCATATGGCAAATAATAAGTGTACAAATTTTCAGACAAATCCTTCCAACAGTTTCCAAGAAATGGTCAGGACAAAATCTCGTCTACAGACAGACGGACAGACAGACAGACAGACGGACAGACAGACGGACATGCTGATTCCAATATACCCCCCCTAAACTTCGTTTGCGGGGGGTATAACAACAAGTATTTGTTGTTTTACAACAGAAGAGGTAGGGCAGATAGTAAGTAAGGTGTTAGCAGGTCGTTCCTTTGGAGAGGTTTGAAACAATTCAAAAATTGTTGTTTATTCTTTTAAAACTAGACTGATGAATATAAAAATGACTTCTAAAAGTGGTCATTTAATAGACACCCGACAATGATTGCAAGATCGTATTGTACATTTTTGGCAACCAGAAGTGTGGTGGACAAGGTATGGATGCTAAATCACCTATGACTGCTAGGTGACATGATAGACATCTCTCTATATCATTTGTAAAACTGTTTCAACCTCACTGGCCACCGCTGATAACCACCACCATCATATCAGTGCATGAAAGGTGGACAATCGGCTTCTAGAAATTAGTTTGCAGGTAAGAAGACCATTTAAGGGTTGACAAGATGACAGAACACTGCAAATTTGACTGCAGAGGGCAAGATGGCATATTAGACTGACTCTCTTGTCCATTAGGCCAATGTTTTTTCTACAGATGAGAATATTAAGTGGTATGTTAGTAAACTTGAAATGTCTAGTGTTAATGCTTTAATGCTGCAAACAAATGCAACTGATGAACCATATCAAGAGGTGAGCAAGATTATTAAAAACAGGGTTGTCCCTAAGACCCGGGGCCAGGAATTTTCTAGCTTATAATGACATAATCTCCCAGTTATTCTGGTATTCCCCCCTCAACCCCCTGTTAGGAGAGGAACCCCAGACCCCTTCTACTTTTTTAATGTCCCCTGCTATTTCAATTCTTAGGGACAACTTTGTAAAAAAGCTTTAAGAACATATTGTTCACTTGGGTCGGATTTCAAGTTCTACTGTTAATCAATGAAGCAGAGAACTTACGTCATCTGTGACCTGATTACATTGCATCTGAATGTTTTGTAGGTCACGCCGCATGTCATCATCGCTGTTGGATGCTGGAACTCCATTCACTGGTGACGTCATTTTGTCTGTAATATTTAACTTGAGACCTGCACAGAGAAAAGAAAAAGATGTAAGACCTTAACTAAACATCCTTGTCTTCACCAAAATTCATGGAGAAACACTTTATCTATTCACTAAAATCTTGTTACTGGATAATATACTACTGTAAAAGAAAACACTATGTTGTTCACTTATCATTTTTACATTAAAAAAAACTCAAAAAAACATTGAAGTCATAATAAAATCTCATAAGTAGGTTATAACTATGATTTCAGGCCTTCCCCAAGACTGGTAAGAATAATATGAGATAGAATGTTACATGGTGACAAGGACTTTAAAACAATTTCCAACAAGATTTCTACAGTTCTTCAATCAGAGTTAAATAAATTGACCTAGTAATTGACAAACAATAAACTCATCCACCTCTCAGTTAACAGGATGAAGCAAGCAGCAAAGACTATCATTTACATGTAGTCTCATTTTAACAAGCTGGTTTATAAATCAAATTGATATGGTCTATAAATTTCATATATTTCAATGGAGAAAGTACTTGAAAACAAATAATTTTTTTTCCTTTAAGTTAAATTTACAGTGATTTACAAAATATAAATCCTCAGACCTCATGAGCACATGAGCAGCACAAAATTTAACACAATAAATTCTGAAACAAATAGAATTATTTTCACTTTTAAGATATCAGAAAGGTGTCAAGTTTGCGATTGAATACATTTAACTTTTTGACAATCTTCTTTCAAACGTGAACCTATTTTCACTTAGACAAAGTCAACCAGAAGTATCTAAGGAGACTGTAGCTTCACTGCTTTTTACTCATATAAATGGAAAAGAAAAGTAAATACTTTTTTTTAGAATTATGCACCCTAATGTTTCTCGACTTGTACCAAGTTTTATTTAAATGAAACCAAAACTGCAGGAGGAAGCATTTTAAAAAGAATTTTGCAGAAATTCCTATTTTTATACCTAGGGCAACACCAAAAATCACATTAATGTTTCTTGATGAAGTTTATTTGTATGCTAAGTTTAATTCAAATTGGACAAAAACTGTAGTGAGAGTAGTGATTTGAAAAAGTGTGGACAGAAAAACATATAAACAGACAGATGGACACTTTACGGTAAATTACCATTGCAAAAGTTCTTCTTGACTTAAAATATGCAACATTACAGACAAATCACTTTTACTTTAATCAATTACATTACCTCCACCAAGATTACAAATTATGGTATCCCCTTCACTTGACAATATTTCATGCAAGTCAAACACACAACAAACCCACTGTGAAAATCTTTCACAATGCCTGGATTGACCTCCCAAACAATCAACTACACACTGGAGTATTTATATTTACATCCTTATTTGATGTTTGATAAATAAAATAATATCAAGAAAGGGGATTTATTCTATATATAAATAATGAATGAGAGGGTTTCCCCATTCATAACAAAGTCTCTGCCGGTCTGCTAGTTCAGCAGACGACAGATTCCACCATATCCAGTTGATTAACCAAAGTGACAGACATCAATAAATCAATGGCAGAGAGACAACCTATTCACTCTCTGTATCTATTTATTATTCACTGATTAAAAAAACACCCCATCATGAGTCCCAACATCCACCTTCCCTGTCCAACAGATGTTTACCATGGATCAATACAGCACAGATTTTTAAGGATGACTCACTGCAGTTAATAAACAATTTAAAAATGAGTATGTATGAGTAAGATAATAAAATCTAACACACATGGCTCCTGCACAGTATGAATTCATTCAATGCTCTCTTTCTGATGCATTTTGTACTACTGATTTATCTCCCTTACATTATTCTACTTCATATGTAGTATGCCTATCAAATGTTATGAATCAAGTACTTATAATTTTTAAGATCATTGCTGCAGCAATATTTAATCAATTATTAGCAGATAATGGAAACTTCCTGTTCATTTGTGATCATCTTTAAAACAGTTTAAACATGGGTTTTAAAATGCATAAACCGGTAAATTAAAAATTTCACGTTGTACAGGAAAGATGGTTTACAAGCACTTTAAAAAAAGGTTTTAGTCATTTCCATGTTCACAGCCTAACTTGCTTTTTTCTAAGTTTTCTTCTACATACTAAAAATGTAAATTATATAACAGAAATTTTAAATGATTAGAGAATTTATAAAAAGAAAATTCCTCAGTGCTAAAATACATGTAAATGAAAATTTGTCTGATAAAAGTACCATTTACTGAATCTATAGTTACTAGTCCCTTTCACTGTTCAATGGTAATTCAAAATACTTCTTTCTTCAAATAAAGATAAAATTGAAAGGAAAGGTCTGCTGACGTGATTTAAAAACAATTAATTGTAAAGTTTCCAAATGAAAAAGCAAAGCAATCAAATAAAAACGTGAGTTAAGAAAAGGTAGACCAGAATTTCAGCAAATACACAATAGTACCCATACACCTGTAAATTACTCCCTACAAAATCCACAATGCATCGCTCCTGCTGCATCTACCAGTTAAGGTAGTGAGTAACTAAAAAAATGAAACATCATGAAACTGGAACTGAAGACATTATTCTCTACAAAATCCTGCTGTAAGAACACCAATATTCTGGTGTTGGTCTTAGTGTTGGTATATTCTGGTATAGGTAGTGTTGGTCTTAGTGTTGGTATATTCTGGTATAGGTAGTGTTGGTCTTAGTGTTGGTATATTCTGGTATAGGTAGTGTTGGTCTTAGTGACAGTTTATTCTGCTGTAGGTGCATGGTGCTGGTTTGGTAACCAATGTTTGTTCATTCTGGTGTGGGTGGTGTTGGTGTGATAACTAATCTTTAGTGTTGGTTTATTCTGGTGTGGGTGGTGTTGGTGTGGTAACCAGTTCTTAGTGTTGGTTTTTTCTGTTTTGGTTGGTGTTGGTGTGGTAACCAATCCATAGTGTTGGTTTATTCTTGTGTAGGTGATGTTGGTGTGGTAACCATTCCTTAGTGTTGGTTTATTCTGGTGTGGGTGGTGTTGGTATAGTAACAATTTGTTAGTGTTGGTTTATAGAGGAATACGAGGATGATTATTGCTTTATATTGACCGTGTACACATATGTTCTCCAATTCTATGAGTTCTTTGAATTCTATAATCCTAGGGAATAGTGGGTTTTGTACGCTGGGCATTAAATATCACATGTGACAAAAAATCAAGCGTCAACCAGGATTGATCCAAGGGCCTATGGTATGCCATGACAGCGCTCTAATCACCGAGCTATAGAGACCCTAATATACTGACTGATATTCACACACTTGTTAACCCTATTGCACTTATATCTATACAGAATCTGTACAGGATCATAGAAAGTATAACATTATAACTCCTAAAATCCTGGCATCACCACTGCTCAAACCAAAAGGTAAAGAATTCAAATCAATCTGTCATTCCAAGCAACCAAGCAGGTGCACTATGAATCTACAGTTCGTACTGAATATGATTGTCAAAAACATTATATTTCGTGGAGAATTGATATAGTTTCTTAATCTTCCACAACACTCATAACCCCCTTACCATGCTTACCCTGACAAGATTGCTAATTTTAATTCAGTATGTTTCATGAGTAAATTATGATCAGTTAATATAATAATAGATTCTTTGAATTCATAAAAAGCAAAAATATTGGTATAACAGGAAAGGGAGATGTACAAGCATTCATTTCTTATGAAATAGTGTAACTATTACATACATTAACTGATTAAATCTTTCAATATGAAAGTATCTATACAGCATACCTGTACGTTACCACAATATTACAATGAAAGATATTTTACTGAAAACCTGTTTCCATTGACATAAACTTGCACTTACTTTCAAGAAAAGCATATGTAAACAAATCACATGTTCGATAATGCCAATGGGCCCAAGAACGACTACTCGCAATTAAAGATAATTCAGTTATCACTTGGAATAGATAAGGATCGTACTGTTCTTACCCTTCGTAAGCTACGTTGAAATATATATATAAGCACAAAAATAAAGTGAAAATTCCGCCCCCAATGTATCTGTCGTTTTAAGAAAAATAAGTCAATATTCTGACGTCATCTACCTCGAGAAAAGTAGAACCTTTCTCGATAATACAATTTCCGGAATCTTGACGGATTAGCTAGTGAGGAACGAGATCAAAGGATGATAAGGAGATGGGATAAAGAACCCAAAAAGTTTTGTTAGTATTGTTACAGTCCGACATACAAAAATAGTGCATATTGAACATATGGTTATGTTATTGGTGTCTATGAATAACCAAAGAATTTTTTAAATAAACTTCTACAGAGAAGAAGAAAACACTTGCTGTGTCCTTCAACTCGACATAACAACCCAACAACAAAGTTTTATGATAAACGTGATGACTTCAACTTTTCAGTCGTCAACTTCCCTTACTTATGTAGCAATATACCCTTATCACCTGCATGCATATGGGGTTTATGTCTCTCAGTTGATTCGATACGCAAGAGCATGCTCTACATATGAACAATTTCTAAAACGAGGCAAGCTACATGTATTGACAAACAAGTTGATGAAACAAGGATATCAACAGTCTGGTTTGAAGTCATCATTTTGCAAGTTTTATGGCGGATACAAGGACCTTGTTAGCACATACAACCTATCATTGAGTCAAAAATCTGACTGACGTTTTTCATACTCAATTGTTAGGTCATTATGTATACACTGAACTGTCTATGGATTTTTCCGGTTTCTTTTTTTTTTTTCGATCATGACAAGGAACACACGGTGAGTGTGACCGGTCGACAGGGATGCTTACTCTTCCATGGCACCAGATCCCACTTCTAAATTTTGAGGGCTGTGTTTGTTAGCTCTGCTCCAAATTTGTATTGTTTCATTGGACTTTATCTTCATGTTTCATTACGCCATCCATGTGAAGGAATCCTCTTCTGCATGCCCTGAGTACAAACGCCTTTGTTATGATAACAGGTCTTTAAGTCATGATTTTGTATTATCAGAATATAATTACTTCATATGATTAGACATAAATTAAATTGTAAAGCATAAAAGTGAAACGGATTTTTGAAAAAGATTATTTTTAAGGTTACCATAGAGATAATATTTCGGTGATTCAGAAGAATCACGTTTTTTTAAAATAAGAAACTAAATATTATTTCATCTTTGATTTTTATTTAAAATTTATCTAAAAATTAATTGAATGAATGCATTTAGAATCCAACTTGTATTCTATAGTTACGGAACAGTAAAAATAGTAACAATGAAGAAAATTCCAGCTTTTGTAAGTATCTTGTAATTCCCTCTTGCATTTAGATAGAAAAATTACTAGGTGGAATTGACAGCTAGTTACTGATTTATAAAGTACCACTAAAAAGGTAATGAAAAGTATTCTAAAAGAGACCGAATCCAAGTAAACAAATGTAATAATATTCCTGGAAAAATGAATTTTTTTCATTGTATGCAGCTCTAAATATTTGTACCATTTTTAAGTTTTCTACTATATTTTATTAGACATCATATCATTTATAAAAACAACACACACACACACACACACACACCCTCACACACACAAAAAACAAGATGTGTTTGTGAAACACTGATGCCCCCGTATGGCAACTTATAGCAAAATTAAAGATGTTGGTATCCAAAGAAAGGTCTTGTCACAAGGATTACACTTGTGAAGTATAAAAGCCCTGGCTTCAACCGTTCAAAAGTTATAGCCAAGGTTAATGTTTGTTATTATACCTCTACTGGTATTTGCCCTATATAAAATTAGATCACTAGATGTGACTAATTCCCTAGAAATCGTTATGGATGGACTAATCTCTGTGCGTTAGTCAAGTGAGCTAATCCCTGCTTCGAAAGCTAATTCCCGGTTATCCGAAATCCTCTTGATTTTACTTTTATATTGGTATGATATGTGAATGGACTTATCCCCGTGTGTTAGTTCAGTGAGCTAATCCCTGCTTTGAAATCACGCTATCTGAATCCTCTAAATTTTGCGTTTGTATCGGTATAATAAAACAGTTAAAAGTATATCATTGTGGGAGTTAGCAAGATTCCAGTTCCCCTCGACCAGGACTATTTCTCTCGGCTTCGCCTCGGGAAATAGTCCTGGTCTTGGGGAACTGGAATCTTGCTAACTCCCACAATGATATACTTTAACTGTATAGTAAAATTTTGCAAAACTGGGTCAAACTCCAAGTTCAAGGTCAAAAGGTCAAATACGGTGATGCCCAAAGAAAGGTCTTGTCATAAGGAATACACATGTGAAATATGAAAGCCATAGCTCCAACCAATCAAAAGTTATGGACAGAGTTAAAGTTTTTGCGGACAAACAGACAGACAGACGGACGGACAGGGCAAAAACTATATACCCCCGAATCTTCGATACGGGGGCATAAAAATAATTTTCAAAGATTCATAATTCATTTGTAGCCGCTAGACTTCAATTTTCTCTTTTTCTGGTTCCATTTCCACAGCAACAATGTGATTGTTATAGATATTTAACCTTCGTATGTACTATCAGCTGTAGGTGTTCGAAAGTTCTGAAAAATATTCAGCGAAAATTTACAAAGATCTGAAAAAAAAATATTTAATGAAAATCTCTGATGTAAAAATGTGAATTGTTACTTCTTTGTTAAAATGGTAACCCCACATTTGCTATGTACATGTTCTCCATGAACTTTTTGGTAAATATGAAACGCTTCAAACGCTTTGCATACATGTATGTGGATAAACATTTTTTGTTGTGGTGATATTTCTTTATAATGTGCGATACTTTGTCGTTACATGCTGATACTTCATAATATGATGACATTTTGATTTTATATGCTGATACTCCGGGGCCCAAATTGGACTAATAAAATCTTGTAATCTTGATACTTCTTCCTACGTGAAGATACTTTGACATGAGTTGTACTTCTTCATTGTATGCTGATACTTTGACATTTTATCCTGACATTTTAACATTATATGCTCATTCTTCATTATATGCTGAAAAATTTGTCATTATATGCTGATACTTCGTCATTGTATCTTGTTGTAAATTTTGTATTCACCTCTTCATCTAAAAACTGAAAGAAAAAGTGAGCAAGCTCACATACCCCACCCTCCCCCAAAACTCGACAATGCAACACGTAAAGAATGGCACAGTGCATTTTAAATACACAGTATAATTCAAAAAGGGACATTACTTGCAAAAAATCATCACATCAAAACTTCTTGCATATAAGGACATTCAAATCTTTGTATGCTACAAATTTAATTGGGCTGAAGTTTCTAGATAAATAATGAAATAAAAATTTCTTGGTAATATACAAATCTATTCATTATGTCTGAAATACCTACAAAGTTTCAGGAAATTCAGTGCAGGAGTTATGCATGCTGACAAACTGTTTTTTAAATTCCTCAGTGATTTCGATTTGTTTATGAGTAAGTCCATGTCCAACACACATGACAATTTACACATTTAAATAATTGATGGAAACAAAATTATGATGTAGTAATATGAATTTGTTTATATACTGTATTTATGAAATTATTTAAGGCAAAGCACCAATTTGAGGGGGAGGGGGGTGGGGTGAGAACTATCCAAGATTTTGTGTATGTGTGTGTGTTAAATCATTAATATTTTGATCTCAAAATCAATAGGGGTCTTTTAAGGTCATAAAATATTTCACATAAAATGTCATTACAAAAGCTGATTCCAGTGGATTTCCTTATTACCTAGCTGGAAAGTTTCTTCAATATTAAGCAAAAATAATGAAATCGGAATTTCCTGGTGATATGCACATCTACACATTGTGTGCTGAATATCTGCAAAGTTTGACCAAATTCTGTGCAGCGGTTTAAGAGGAGTTGCGCTGACAAACTGTTCATCTCTATATTCAAGATAGGGCCAAAAATCTAAGTTGAAAAGTGCCGAAATTCCCAGAAAGAATAAAGGAATCGGAATTTCCTGGTAATTTGCACATCTACACACTGTGTACTAAATATCTGCAAAGTTTGACCAAATTCTGTGCAGCGGTATAAGAGGAGTTGCGTTGACAAACTGTTCATCTCTATATTCAAGATATGGCCAAAAATCTAAGTTGAAAAGTGCCGAAATTCCCAGAAAGAATAAAGGAATCGGAATTTCATGGTAATATGCACCAGTACACATTTTGTGCTAAATATCTGTAAAGTCTGACGAAATTCTGTGCAGCGGTTTATGAGGAGTTGCGCTGACAAAAAAAAAAGGACTGACGGACTGCATGACTGACACACTGAGTGACTGACTGACGGACGGGTCAAAAACATTATACCTCACGCAACTTGTTGCGCGGGGTATAATTAAGAATTTACAACATAATTATATGCTGATTGTTTTTATACAGACCTACTCGTTCATTATTGATGGTACTTCTTCCGCTGCTATTTGTTATTTAATGGGGACGTCATGACCATTAAGCGATACAGATTTAGCATCTCAATTCTTAACAAGCAATTTTTTTTTTCATATAAGGAACAGGGTCTGTTTAAGAGTAATTGATTGAAGTCGTGGAAAGAGCCCAGTGCACAGCTTAAGTAGATTATTTTATCGAAATAAGTGATCCCTGGACTTATGAAGACTAAAGGTTTGTAGATATGTTTTAAAATAATACAGTCATAAGAATTTTTAATTTTTCCCGCATTATTTCAAATTATTAGGATAATTATTTTAAAGATTTTTTTTCTATCTATATTCCCATGTAAACTTAGATCTCCTGTACTGGCCCCACTCTACCCCCAGGCGCCATGATTTGGAAAAAAACACACTTGAATCTACTCTTTCAGAAGAATTTTAAAGATACCATCAAATTTCATTAATTCTTAATTATATCCCCTTTGAAAGAAGATGTGGCACTTCATTTGAACTTTAAATTCTGGCTTTAAAACTAGAAAGTCTAACTAGGTTTTTAAAAACACGGATTTCCTTATTTCCTGTAGTTTTTGGTTTTTTTTTTATTTTTTGGCGAATTTCGACTCAAGGGTAGGGTACCCCTAAAAAATTCATATCTTAAGAAGATGGGCAAACAAGGCGAGCGCAATGCCTATAGTGCAACAAACGTGAAGGTGAAAAATTAAATCTTAATTATAACAAAATGTTCTTTGATATTTCATTTAAAATCAAAGTATACTTGATGTAAAATCTCCACAATTTGCAAAAATCTCGCTAAGATTGAAATTATTTGCCTATGAAAAAGCATACACACACTAGAGAAGGTAAAAAGGATCGTTTTCTTTTACTATAAGACAATTTTTCGATATGAGTGGGTCTTCGCTCCATATTATTTCAAAGTTTATCGTCAAAGTTTGCGAAAAATATACATTTTTTGGTCAACAAAAACATGGAGCAAAGACCCACTATACCTTAAAAATACACTTTTATGACACAACATTCGCATCTTTTCGAGAAATACTTATAACAATGCAAAATGTAATAAACACGGATTATTGCATTTGCGTTATTACATTTTGCGTCAATATCAACGGAGAATGTAATAACGCAAAATGTAAAAACAGACTTTTAAGAATTATAACATTTTGCGTTATAACATTTTGCGTCGAGATCAACGCAAAATGTAATTACGCAAAATGTAATAAAACAATTTTTGGATTATTACATTTTGCGTTGTTACATTCTGCGTCGAGATTAAGCAAAATGCAACAACACAAAATGTAATAACACACTTTTAAGTCAGTGAGGTTGAGAATACTTTTCAGTTGAGTAGTGGATGAAGAAAATAAACGGAAAGAAAATAAAACAAAATGAAAAATAAACATATACTAATTCTTACATTAGAACTGATTTCATTATATATTGATTTCATTAGCCATTTAAAATAAGTTGATAAGACTGCTCTTATTCAAATCATTGGTGTTGCAAATTAGAAACGTGCGTGCGAACGTGTGTTTGGGGGGATGGGAGGGGGTTATTTTGTTGATCAAGTGTATCAGTTTGCTTTGCTTTTTGATAGGCACGTGCATGAAAATTAGAAAAGAAATCTATTTATTTTTACTGGCAGGTGTAAATATAGAGGGGAAGCGGGTTTCTTGACAATTAAGATTTCATATGTTCTACAAACCTTGTGCATTGCAGACCTGCAAAAATAAAATTCTTTCTTTTTTTCTCTCTAATAATAAAATGGATAGTTTCTGGATTTCTGCATGCATATAAAAATACAATGATCAACATACGAAGTGACCCCTACCCCCGCTTCTCCTCGCCACACACACACACACACACACATACTTCTAATTTGCTACCCAATGTACACATGCACGTCGTTTATGCATATCAAGAGCTTTTCATGGACCTATGGTCAATCTTTGGTAATTAAGAATGTCAGTGATGGATATATAATACAAACTGATTTATAAATAGACATGTCATTCAAAGTTAAGTTAATGTTTGATAAGTATTCAATAAAAATGTTAGAAACAGAGTAAAAAAAAATATACAATTAGATTTAGTAATGTCCGTAAAAGCCATAACGTTTGTCTCATAGTCATAGGTCTGTCTGTTTATTTAGTAAAGCAACTTTTCCCATTGTTATACGTTTAAATCAATTTTGTGATGTTTCGCGTTGAACACAATACAAAAAAATAATTATATTTTGTTTTATTACATTTGTCCTCAACGCAAAAATTAAGTAACGCAAAATGTAACAACCAAAAAGTTCATTGTTACTTTTTGCGTTAATCCCAAAGCAAAATGTAATAATCCCAGTTTATTACATTTTGCGTTGTTATTACATTTCGCGGTGTAACAAAGCGTGTCTCAGAGGAAATTGATACTCAGGATTTTTATTGCTAGGGGTTCGAACCCCACGAATACCACATGATTTTTTTTTTATAACAGAATAATTTTTGCAGAGAAAATTTTCCTCAGGAAAGTTTTGTTTATCATAATTTCATTAATTTCAAGAATGAGAACTGTACTCTAAATATACAAATTGATTATGATTTTTATACATATCTGAAGCTATAGGCATTCTGCGCGCCTTGTTCACCCATCTTCTTATTCCTTTCATCACAACCTATCAAAATATCTTAATTTAACTTAGGGCAGGTCTACCCTGAAGGACTTCTAGGCCGGCCAAAATTCATGCAAATATATGTGCTTTAATGGTCGTAACGCTGTTTTGGCCAACTATGAAGGTTAATTTTTAAGTTGTAAATAATAAATTTTAGGTTCAAAATACAAATTTGAATAATTCAGACATATAACAGTTAACAACTAATGAAATTGACTTTTAAAAGTGGCTTTTTCCGGGAAATTGTTCTCTCCCATAGGTCAATTCTTTTCAAATAGTGAATACGTCCTTTTACACTTTTTTAGAACAGTGACCTTGAACTTGCAGAATGACATTGAGTCAGGTCATGACACACCCTATAGCCATAAACAATCTCTGTTTCAAGTATGATTCTCCATTACAAAGTTGTAGTCCAGACAAGAATTTCATACATTTTCTGCCAGTGACCTTGAACTGGCAGGAACAACCTTTGATGAAGGTCATGACACAGCCTCTGATTCCCTGTTACAAGTATGTGCTTCCATTGATTCTCCATTACAAAGTTAACAGCCCGGACAAGATTGCACGGACAGAGAGGCAAGGTGATTCCTATAAGACCCCCCCCCCCTCCCCAACTTCATCTGCGGGGTGGGATAATAGACATTTGCCTTCATTTTCAAGATATTAAGGATGAAACAAGGACTAGAAATGCTGAAGCAACAACAACAGCGACTCAGTATGAACAAGAGATGCGGACCAAAGGGGAGCATATTACGGAACTGGTAAATATTTAACATATTTCAAAAGATTTAAAATATTTAGAAATATAATCAGTATGTGAAGAAGTTTGAAGACATAAATTACATATAATGTGACATTAATGATGTAATACTTTTCAGTCCCTCGAGAGCACTAGAAGAATGACAGATCTCGTGCATGGGGTAAAGATTGAGGGAAGACAAGGCGAGGACAATCCCCCGTTCTGGGAAAATATATTTTTCATTATCCCCCCCTCCCCCCGCAAACAAAGTTTAGTAAATCTCCTTGTTTTCAAAGTATAATTTTCAAAAAGTGTGTTGTCAGTAATGTCATATCTTTAACACATTTGATTTCTTTATTCTATCGAATTACTAATTACTGATTATTAAGTTGGCATTTAAGCATATTTAGTGGAAAATGGGTCCAAATATAGCCAAAAAATATTTTTGAATATGAATGTGTCAAATCCCCAACCTACATAAACTTTTAAATGACGGGGAAGTGAATATAAAATTTAATTTTTTTTAACAGAATGGAAAATGGACCCATTCTGTATGAAAAAAATATATGTTAGAACAAACTCTATTTAAGCCACTCTGACACTAACTAAATAATGATAGCATAGCGCCGTGGTTGAGGTGTTTACTTTTCGCTATACCCTTTTTTTTGGAGAGAGTTCCAATCCTAAGTAATTAAATAAAAATAAAAGAATCAAATATTTTATAGATCGAATAGTGAATACTGACAACATGTTTTTCTAAAAAATATTACTTTTCTTGGAACTTTGACAAATTTAGAAATATATTGTCTCAAAGTGGGGGATCATCATCGCTTGTCCGCCCTCATGCTTTTTGATATTGTGCGAAAAAAAATTATTGTGCAATTATTGACATATTTATAAAATAAACTATTCATCTAACCTATGCAATTTAACTACTTTTTTCTCCAATATCAAGTTTTTGACGTAACCGAATTTATTTTCAGACACGCTTATCCTCTCCTGCAATAACAGTACATTAAGTCCTTCAATGGCTAACTGACCTCGGGAAAATTGAAGTTTGGTCCAAGAAATTTTGTAACTTGATACTCTTTGATTTAAGGACTTTCAGAGAAAAGTACTCAATCTTAACAATGAAAATTGTTTTTGAGGAAGTCGGTGAGGTTATTTGTAAACTCTCAAAGGAATCATACTCTAGGTTGAAAGAATGACGACAGAGTTTGATTCACATTTCACGATAGATTGCACGATTCGGATAGTAATGGAACTTAGAATGAAAAGAGCATCCTAAACACAGTCCCAAGTGTATATTCTTTTAGAAATTGATTCTCAACCCCATTATCAGATCATATTTGGTGTGAGGTATATCTTATCCATAACCCAGATTCAACGGAACACATAAATTAAAAGAAAGTGTTTCTCTTCCTTGTTTTTTTTTTTAAATTATATTCCTTTAGCATTTTAATTTAATATAAATCATCTATTTTGTGAGGATTTTTAATTTCTATTTGTTTCTTAGGCTAAGGAGGCAGGTATCCGTTCTCTGGTCCTGATTGATGAACATGGAGGTGAGTATGTCTAACTAAATGGTCCAACCACAGTATTAGGCACCAATCTCCATAAGGCACACACATGGAACGCCACAGGTGCCCTCTGTGATTTGGTTTTTTTTTTTAATAAAACGATGGTACTTTTGCATTATATGCTGTACTTATTTCATTATGACGAGGAGCTTTTGCATTATATGCTGTGGTTTCTTCATCACAATGACTCCATATATTTGTAAAAACACTACATTACCAAAAAGACTATCTCCTAAGGCAAAGGTGGTGTTCCATATAAATAGCTAAATGACCTGTTAGGAAAATACTACAAATACTACAAATGTCTATTTCTTCTTATTCAAGGTTATAAAAATGCTAAATAATACAAAATATATAACCATAAGGAAAAAAGGATAAATTAAATTAAAATTGATATTTCATACATCTTCGGCACCAAAATATTTCATCTACTGGTCGGAGCCGTGTTACCTACATATGGTCATTATGGGCTATAGTCGATCGCAGTGTTGTCAACCAACATACCCGTGTAATCGTCGGATAATTGAGTGCAAGTCAAAGTTTATGAAGTGTTGGTTCATGTTTTATTTAAAGATCCATAGACATTTCATGCATCATTGAAATAGCAAATGCTACATGAACCATACTGTTGATAATGAAAAAAAAATGAAAATAATGAACAGTAAGCAATTTCATTAATCTTTAAACAATACGAATTGTGAACAGGGCAAAATGGGACCCCTGGAAACACCAGAGGTGGGATTAGGTGCCTAGGAAGAGTACGCATCCCCTGTCAACTATTCACACCCACCGTGAGCTCTTTGTATTGACCAGAAAAACGGAGTAATCTGTGGGCAAAGTTAGTATAAAAATATATGTGGTCAAAGTTAGAATAAAAATAATGGCTTAAAAATTGGTAAAAAAACATCAAAATACGAACAAATCAAGATCATTATAACGACCATATAATTGAGGAAATGCTGACTTTAAACAAGCAAGTTTAAATTCCGTGACTTCAACTTATTTGTCAGTAGCTTGTCTCGGTTTTAGAATTTATCGTATCTAGAACATGTTCTTGCGTACGTACTGAATCAGTTGGGAAATAAATACTAAATGCAGGTGATAGTGGAATACTACGAGTATATGTACGGACCCCTAAAAATATCAGAGGTGGGATCAGGTGAACTGGAGGAGTAAGCATCCCCTGTCTCAGTCAGCATTTTACTTTATGATAGATTAACTTTGCTGATAAGGTCATTGACCATAGAACTTGTGAAATGATGACTATAAACGAGACTTTTGATATCCTTGTTTCATCAAATTGTTTGTCACTAGCTTTTTATAATGTCACCGTTTATGTTTATATATATATATATATATATATATATATATATATATATATATATATATATATATATATATATATATATATATATATATATATAATATCAAGAACAGCTTGATCGAATCGAGGATGACATGAATCAGATTAATGAAGACATGGAGGACGCAGAGAAAAACCTAGAGGGACTACAAAAGTGCTGTGGACTGTGTGTGCTACCCTGGAAAAGGTAAATCGTTCAATTATCTAGAAAAAAAGGTTAAAAGAAGAAAGTTTTACTTAATCTTAAAACTATTAATTCTGTAGGCCACAGATGTTTAGGAGAGGTGGAGATTATGAAAATACCTGGAGGCTTTCCGAGGATGGCAAATTGAGTTCCGATAGAAGACGAGTAGCTGCAGGCAGAAACACAAATTCTAAGGGTCCAATTATTACTAGGTATCTCAGAATAAAAATATCGGGATCTAAGGGTCACATATTATTAGGTATCTTACAATAGAATCTCGTAATCAAACATTCCAATTATTACCAGGTATCTTCGGGATTAAAGGGACTCATTATGATCAGGTACTATTATCTAAAGATATACCGTAATCTCTGAATCTAACGGACCCATTATTACAAGGATCTCAGACTAACGGGCCCATTATTACAAGGATCTCAGACTAACGGGCCCATTATTACAAGGATCTCAGACTAACGGGCCCATTATTACAAGGATCTCAGATAACGGGCCTATCATTACAAGGATCTCAGACTAACGGGCCCATTATTACAAGGATCTCAGACTAACGGGCCCATTATTACAAGGATCTCAGACTAACGGGCCTATTATTAGCACGATCGCAGAATAAAATCACAAGGTATATTTCAGATATTTAACAGGCCATTTTTCCAGGCTCCAGGACCATGATAAATCTATAGACAAGCTCACTTTCGATATCATTCTCACTTTTACAAAAGGACTGAGATAAAAAGTAATCTCGTCTGAGTTTTAAGTCCCCAGAGCCTGGTATAGAAAATCTTGTGATTTTGCCAACTGGACTTTTTATCAACAGCAACTGAGACTGAGAGTGCATTTGGCCTTCTTTATACTAGTAGACTTTGCATTGTGTTGTGGAATGACGGTGTTACATTACATGTACATGTATGAGATGCAACAGTCACATGAAGTGACTGCCAAAGCCAGCTGCTGCTGTCACTACAAACTGTTGACTATCAAAGCGTCAACTATATAGCTTTATTGACGAAATAATCGCCATGCAATCTTGATCACCGACATGTGACCTAACTTTGCTATTACGCATGCATCACAATTTAATTCAAATCAGATTTTGCTTAGCGTTCGAAGGGAGTTAATGAATGTGGAATTTATTGATTCGAATTAAACTAATACGCATTAAATTAATATATTATATATATACTCTTCAAAATTAGAAACGCATAGTAAAATTTTAGTGACACATATTGAACATAAAGATTATTTAGTAAAATAATGTGTTGATAATAAAGAAATGTGTAAACAGTATGTCCACAGTCTAAATGTCATAATTACTAAAGAATATAAGAATCATAGACAGTTCAAGGTCATTAAAGATCAATGTCAGACACCAATGATAGCCAAATATGGCATCTTAAAAACTGTATGGGAATGCTATCCCACCCTAAATGTAGAGCTTTGGTCAGCTGTTGCAGAGTCTGGGGATGCGAGTGTTTTTGGCGGATTATGCCTATCCATTTTGTCCAATACATGCTTAATGGGGTTTAAATCTGGCGATTTAGATGGCCAAGGCAGAAAAGGATGCTGTGGCTTTGCAAGAATGTGCTTGTCAAACAAGCCGTATGTGGCTTTGTATTGTCAAATTAAAATACAGCTCCAGGAGGCTGCAATATTGGAAAAGCATGTGCAGGTAGGACATCGTCAGAGTACCGTTTTCCTTCAAAGTCCTTTGATAATGAACCAAATCAGTCCTACTTGTATCTAACACTGTTTTCCACATCATTACACTACCATCACCTTTTCTATCAACCTCACAGAGGCAGTGTTTTTTGTAAAACGTTAATTACAAAGCCTTTGCACTCCGACTCTTACATCAGGCCTTGCAATAAACATTCTGGACTAATTGCTAAACCAAACTGTTCAGCAGTGTTGTTGTGGCCATACTCTGTTGGTCTGAGGCCTTTGAAGTCGAAATTTGCGGTGTTGTGGGGTCAGAACAATGTCATGAAAAAGTCACCTGGTGATAATTCCAGCATTTCGTAGTCAATTGTAAATGGTCTTGTTTGATATTCTGTGCAAATGAGGGATAGACAATGTTGTAAAGGACGTCACTTGTTGAAAATTATGCAAACCACTGAAGCGATCCTGTGCTGCTGAGGTCACGCGTGGACTACCATATTTTTGGCGATCATTTCTGGTACCACGCTGTTGGGTTTTGTTTTTTTTTAGGTTAGATATGATGCTTTGTGCAACATTAAAACCTCTTGCAATTGTAGGTTGTGGTACACCAGCTTCCAGTCGCCCAATTTACTTTTTTGCGATATGCAACATTCAGATGCAGCATTTTTGAATAGCGTCGATTTTTAGATAAAACCAGAATCAAAATCAAAAACCAGAATCAAAATATCGAGAATCCTAGCTTTTGATAGCCCGTTTGTACCTGAAGGCAGAAAACAAAACAAGAAAAGTGAAAAAGAAACGAACAAACTTTTAGCATTTTGCAAAATCAGTCCTTTTTGTCCGTGAGTTTTTTAGAATGGCTGACAAGTTAACAGTAGCGTTGAAAAATAATGTGTTTTACTCGAACAGTTATATCCATCTAAAAAAATTGTATAACAAAACTATCTTATATTATTCTGAGTATAATACCTATTATGCGTTTCTCGTTTTGAACAATATATATATATATATATATATATATATATATATATATATATATATATATATATATATATATATATATATATATATATATTAGTATCCTGATCATCATTTCGTATTAGATACGAAAATTAATTCATAAAGAAAATTACAATTAATATTATCGCACTTAATTTAAATTGAATTAACATAACAGTAAAATTAATTTATTTCACTAGAATAACCAATGACGAGAGAGAGGATGAAATGGAACAGAACTTGACAAATGTGGGTTATGTTCTGGGAAACCTGCGAGAAATGGCCATTGACATGGGGAGTGAAATAGAGTACCAGAATAAGCAACTGGACCGCATAAATTTCAAGGTCTGTATATAATATTGTACACAGAGATTGCTAGTTCATATAGCATAATTGAAAACATTAGTTAGAATCCTTTAGTAAAGATTTTGAGACAATTGCTGTTTTGTTTCAGACCCAGTCCAATGATTGGAGGATACAGATGGCCAACCGAGAGCTGCAGAAGTCATTAAGGAAAATTAATAATATCTGAGTAGGAATTGTAGTTCTGCTTAATAAATTAACCATTGATCTGTCTGTCCATTATATTAATTATCTGTAGACATGTTTACAAACACTATGAAATATAATAGTTCATCAGATAGAAATGGAAATTAATGTATAGCTTCTATAACATCTCTCTCTCTCTCTCTCTCTCTCTCTGTGTGTGTGTGTGTGTGTGTGTGTGTGTGCGTGTGTGTAATTAGGTTAATCAGAATTGAGGTGCACAGGGAAGACACTTAAAATGTAACTGCTGCGATATCATTTATGAATACATTTTATGAAACACAAAAATATATTGTTTTTAAAAAGGTTTGACACCTGCTGGAACTGTTGGAATCAAATATTTCAATGACTCTTACAGATATATATTTCATGAATGCATGCAACTTTTTTCTCCTCCAACTTTCTCTCTCTAAATAAAAAAATATACCTCCGCAGCTTCTTCAAATATATGTTGTATGAAATAGCAGAATGTGTAATAACAAAAATAAAGATTTATATATAGAAAAAAAAAAGATGATCAAGGTAGGATTGGATATTGTGGCTTTACAAGAATGCACTTGTCAGGCAAACCGAATGTCTTATGTTGAATTGCTGCATTATTGTCTAGTCTGCGCATCATGCTGTAGATGACATTGTTGTGGTAGATGACGCAAACCATGTGCTGCTGGTGTCATGCGTGGTCTACCAGGACTATAGTGTTTTGTGCAACATTAAAGGTGCTTAGACACAGATTTGAAGTTAATATTTTCTCAAATTTTCTGTATAATATCACGATTTATATTGTAACGTGTTCTCTTCTGATGGATCCCTCAGTTACTAAACTGAGACCGAGACTCAAAAATAATACAAACTTAAAATATCAAATAGATCGCCTGCCAAAATATACAGATACGGCGAACGTATGTACAAAAATAATCGCCTGCAAAATAAACAAATAAGGCGAAACGAGTTCCTCTCGTGTAAAATAAAAATGATTACCCTTAATTACTTAACTAACTAATCACTAATAAAATCACTATCAAAAATATTAACTAAGATTTACAAACCTATTTACAAAATTATATGACTTAAAATGAGTTCTCAACAGATGAGTACTCAGCTACTCAGAACTTTTATTTATACACACTAAAAGACACTATGTCCACTGAGGACTAGTCGAGCTGTCCCCGCGAGAGTAAGGATACTTGATCCACGTTCTCTTATGGGAAACTGTCGGCTTACCTATAAATATAAACCTCTGCACACAGCTTTCCTCTTCTGAGGTCAAACTAACACTGAATGTGCTGACGCTAGTGGTATGGCGTTTATATACCCTCAGAGCGGAAGTCAACGTAACTTGTCAACTAAGGGCGCCAAATTCAAACTTAGTAACATCATTTACATTACACTACCCCCTCCAAAGAGGAATGCGTCCCGCATTTCTAAATTCTAATAATATCTATTAAGCTACTTAATGAAACTCTTAATACTAATTCTAACTCAAAAACAAATTTTGGTATTTATCTCAAAATATCTCAATTATGTCAGAAGTTTTTATCACATATCAATGTACAATAATATACAATACTACTCAAAGGAAAACTCTCTATACCAGTGAGTAAATCAAATGAGAAAAAATGTACAATAAAATGACTAGTTATCTCAGAAACAAATGTGAGTATTATCTATACCCTTAAGTGACAATTTACTGTTTCTATTACAGTTTAATCACAATTTCCTCCTCTACTACACGACTGACTCTAACTGAACCATCATCCGTTTTAGTTGTAACAGTCTTTTCAACTCTACTGTACTTAGTTGGTACTGTCTGTACTGCAATGTCCTTCATTGTCTTATTTTTACTGTTCACAGACTGTTCGTGACAAGGTGCAGAAATAGATGGTACAACCGCATCAACTTGAGGTTCAGGTATTGAGCTTCTCCTCACGTCGGAACCAAGCGTTGTCTTTGTACCTCCAGTTGAGAACTTCGATTTCTTTGCAGGAATGAATATTTCGGGCATAGTTCTTTTTCTCACGACCCTTCCAAGGATTAGCGAATCCTGCATCTTCTGTTCTTTCTCAATCACTGGATCTCTACGAGCTGAAGACTCATCAGGTTCTTCATAGTAGTTAAGAGCCATTCTCTGTAATGACTTTAACTTTTATATAGGAGCTGTGCCACGCATAGTCTCAGAATTTCTCCAAACTCTCTATGATAAAAGTCTTTGATACCCTTAACTCAAATCAGGCAAAAATGGGTTGCTACATGTCATGGTTACCATAGCAACATGTCCTAAAGTTTGAAAATAGGCATTTTTCAACATGTTCAGAGTCCCACAGTTAACGTTTGCAGCAAAGCAAACAAGTGGCAATGACTGTTTCTGAAAGTTGAAGGCCTGATGTCTTAAATGCATGATAAACATGTTTGGTAAATCAACTATTACATACGTTACTATGGAAACAAAGTATTCAAAAGTAATAATTTTGTTCATTTAATTTTATAAAGTCATACACTTAAGAATAAAAACAATTATAGGTTGAAATGCAAGCAAATAATAGACAAGAGATCTATGTAACATATACCAAGGAGGAAATAGGATATTTCTTATAGGTTGGCAATGGTTGCCATGGTTTTAATACCACAAAGGGATTTTAAATTTACTCTCTTAGTGTTTTATTCTTATCCTATCTTTTTAAAAAGCATATTTCTATTTAACTGATGATCAATTTTCAAAGGCGTTGGTGTGACCCTAATTTTCACATTTCAAAAAATTCAAATTCAATTCTTTAAATAGAGCGTTGCTATGGAAATTAGCCGAAAAAATATGCATAAAAATCTGAAAAATATTTTGTTTCCTTGGATACGTACCCTTGTATGTAGATTCCCAAAACTTTTATGATTGATATACATGAACAACTAACCTGACTTTCAATTTTGACTACTTCCCAATCTCTAACTGGATGCAAAAAGCTGGCACATAGGATTTAATATTGATATAAGAGTAAAAAAATCGAATATTTTCCCTTCTTGGTAACCATAGCAACAGTGTTGTATTTTTCAACAAACTTTATCAATATATGATATTCAACTTTAGTTCTACCAGATAAGTACTATTCAAGGTGAGTAAAATAATATGTTTCTTGATTAAAAGGTAAGTAAATTCCTAAAGCAGCACAAAAATATCACTTTAAACAACTGGTACGTTGTTTCCATGGTTACACTGCAAAGTAACAATTAATCCCAATTTTTCTTATGTTGTCGGTGTTGCAAGGTCCTAAGGATGTATATGTGTCAGTCATGAATTTTATTGTTTTTCCTCAAGATAGTAGCATTAACCCAATCTTAGCAACAGATTTTGCATGGTTACACTGTGTTACCATGGCAACCATGAAAGTTATTTTTAGAATAATATTGCCAATACCTAATTACTTAAGGTCAAATAATTTTATTGTTTTTCTTTGGTTGTTGATTGAGTTTGATCATATAACATCTATAATTAGTGAATATTGAGCGTTTTTCATCATTTTTCAGCATCTGAAATGTATTCCAAATGTACCCATGGTTACCACTTACTTAGAGATAAATTCTAAATAGTTTCTTTATAGCATAAATGGCAACAAGGTGTCATGTTTTTGTGAGAATGGTTTGTTTGTTTTTCTTAGTCTTTATTAAGGCTTAATAAAGATTCAAAGTAGCTGAAAATCTCCATTTTCTCAACTTTTCTGGCTGTTACCATGGCAACCAAGACACATAGCAACGAAATTTGGTTTGATATATGTTTCTGGTGTCAAGTTGTAATAATGGGCAAAGTTTCATCAAAATCGGTGACCATGCGTGGCAAAGAAGTTTAAGTGGTTACAGAGAATCGCTATTAACTAAACTATTATCAGGTATAACGTTGCTAATGTTCTGTTCTTCTACATCACTGTTATTAGGACTTGAGTCACTCGAGATCTGTAATTCATCATGAAGACTAGCCATAGCTGCTACACTCTTATCATTTTGCTCAGTTTTCTCACTTGGATGCTTACACTTCTTGTGTCTGTTCAAGTTCGCTTTTCTCAGTGAAACATAGAGACACTTATCACACTTAAACTGTTTTTCTTGCTGTTTCTTTCCACACTCTAGAACATGATTAAACAGTGCTTCACGACTTGATGTGGAAAATGTACACATCGGACAATTTTCAGGTTGTTTTCTGGGGGTTGTTTTGGTATTAACCATGATGGAATTCTGCAAAGAGAAAAACTATTGACTTTAAATGCTCTAGTACCATTTAGTGTCATAATCAGCTAACCACGTTGGTAATTGCTTTGTACGTTTTGGTCTGACATTATGCTCAAATTGAGATGAGTCATCTGACTCATTTTGTACATTACTATCTGACTCGTTTTGTACACTATCTGAATAAACTTCTGGTAAATTTTCTTTTTCGCCCGAGATCAATTGAGATCGTACAGGTCTCATACGATCTACATGAATTACTTGAGATATTCCTCTTGGTCCGCAATTTACTTTATAATTTATATCGGAACATTTGGCCAGTACTTTGAATGGGCCATGCCAATAGCTGGTTAGCTTTGGCGATAGACCACTTTTATGTCTAGGGAAATACACATAAACAAGGTCACCGACTTTGTAATCTTCCCAGTTGAGTTTTCTATCGTGATAACGTTTCTGTCTGAGCATTTCAGCATTTGTGTGTTCTCGAACAACTTTATGCGCCTCTTCTAAACGATCTTTGAGTTCCCAAGCCCATCTTGATTGTGGTATTTTATCAATATGAGATGGCTTTTGGTACATGATATCAAGAGGAGTTGTTGTCTCTCTCCCTAGCATCAGGAAATTCGGGGAATATCCTGTTGTCTCATGTTCTGATGAGCGATACGCCATCATCACATATGGAAGCTGCTCATCCCAATCTGTATGTCTCTCATTCACATATGCACTCAGCATGTTTAACAACGTTCGGTTGAACCTCTCAACCATGCCATCAGACTGAGG